CCCCGCCCCGCCAACTCCAGGGTGACTCCAGCATCCGGTACTTTGAGATCACAGACGAGCCCCCCTACATCCACTTCCTGAACACGTTCACCAGCAAAGAGCCCCAGAGGGGCATGGGCAGCATGCCCAAGAGGGGCCTGGAGGTCAGCAAGTGCGAGATCGCCCGGTAAGAGGGGCACCGGCCCCTGGGGTGGAGGCAGGGCCCTGCTCCGGGGCTGGGCAGCCTGGGTAGCAGCTTGGGGGCAGGGTGAGAGGTCAGGCTGAAGCGACTAGGAGCAGGAGCAGCCCTCAGGAGGGGCCAGGGGCAGGTGGCAGACCCTGGGAGCCCAGAGTCAGGATGCAGCCCCAGGGGAAGAGCCTAGGGGTCAGAAGTCAGCCCTTAGGAGCTGCCCAGAGGTCGGAGGTCAGTCTATGGGAGTGGTGGGTGGAGGGGGCCAGTAGAGCCGATGGGGTCCCTCTCCCTTCTCCAGGTTCTATAAACTGCATGAACGCAAGTGTGAGCCCATTGTCATGACTGTGCCAAGAAAGGTGAGGCCACCCACCCCCCCTTCTCCAGCAGATGGGTCCATGGGGGGAGGTCCTGGGCTGAGGCCTGTGAGTGGGAGGCGTGGCCAGTGGGCGGGACAGATGTCAGCATGCCCTGTACCCAACCCAGTATTTGTGCTGGTGGGAGGCCAGCAGGGAAGGGACACGGGGTAAGCTGAGGGCCCTGCCCCCGGGGAGCCACAGGAGACAGTTGCGGAGGTCGTGGCAGTCATAGAGGGCTTCCCCTAGGAGGCAGAGCCTTGCAGCGGGGGTGGGAATGGAGAGAGGGACCGTGGGGGGTGGGGTCTGGCTGGAGGAGAGCCCCGTGATGGGGAGCAGGCTGCACGTGACCTGGGTGAGCTTCTGTGAACCTTCCACAAGTGTTTAGTGAGGGCCCCAGTCAGCGTGCCAGGCGCCTTCTCAGTGAGCAGAGCCATGATCAAGGTTGCTGGGGCCCGTCCCAGGAGCTCCCTGTCCGTGGGGCACATATGTGGCTCCCGCAAAGCTCCGGAGCCGGCCCTGCAGCCTGCAGTGGTGGGTGTGTCAGCCTGCTTGGGGAGGCTGGGGGAGGCTTGGGGGAACTGTTGGTGATGTCCAGAAGGGAAGTGAAAAGAGAGCTGAGCTTTAGAAAGGTCGCTCAGGGCCAGGCCATTGGAGGACGGGTGGTAGGCAGGGTGCAAGCCTGGAGATCAGGAGATGGGTGAGGAGGTGGCCACCCAGGGTCCCACTGAGAGGAGATGAGGCCAGAGCCGGGACAGGGGCTATGGGACCAGTGGGGGCTGGGGAAGGCACCTGGCCTCAGGGACCATGAAGAGACGGAAGGCGCACAGGGCTCAGTGGCTGAGGTTCCCCTGCTGCCCCCAAGATAAGCTTAGGAGAGGTCAGGGCTGGGGGCCCGAACCGCTGCAGCCAGTGTAGTGGGAAAGAGAGCCGCTGCTCCCCCTCCCCAGGGTGGCTGGGTCTCCTCCAGAGACCATGGTGATGAGTGAGTGATGGCATCAGTTGGGGGACATGGTTTCTCCCAGCGGCTCCCTGCCCGAGGCTGCAGGACCCCAGCTGATCCTGCTGCCCCCACCCCCCGCAACCTCCCCCGGCCCAGTCGGACCTCTTCCAGGACGATCTATACCCTGACACAGCCGGGCCAGAGGCGGCCCTGGAGGCGGAGGAGTGGGTGAGCGGGCGTGACGCTGACCCCATCCTCATCTCCCTGCGCGAGGCCTACGTGCCCAGCAAACAGCGGGACCTGAAGGTTAGCCGGCGCAACGTACTATCTGACAGCCGGCCCACTGCCACCCCTGCCCGCCCGGGGGCCCCCACCCCTGCGGCCACCACTGCTATGACCACTGCCAGCGGCAGCCTCGCCGGAGCGGGGGTATGTGCCTGCAGTCAGGCGGGGGTAACGGGTGGGCCTCAGATGCTAGGTGGGTTTGGACCATTGGCTGCCCTCTCTGGGCCCCAGGCCCTGCCTGGCGGTCGGTTTGAGGAGGGCTGGCCCCTGACCCACTGGCCCTGCAGGAGGCCAGGAAGCTGGAGGAGGTGATGCAGGAGCTGCGGGCACTGCGGGCACTGGTCAAGGAGCAGGGTGAGCGTATCGGCCGCCTGGAGGAGCAGCTCGGCCGCCTGGAGAATGGGGATGCCTAGGACTTTCCCCCCCAAGGGATGCCACCCCCACCTTCTCCTCCACCCCCTTCTCACTCAGCTTCTGGGGTCACACCAGGCCCCCCTGGCTCCCAGGGCCTCTGGAGTGGGTTTAGGGGCCCTCCCCGACCCCAGCCCATCCTGTGGGCCCCATCTGCAGCCCCCACCTGGCTCATCATTGTTACTGTGGCGGATTTTTGTACCAAGGCAAGCTAGCTTGTTCTCTGAAGGACCATCCCCCGGTCCCTGCCCAGCCCCCTGCCCCTCCCTGGAGGAATCGGAAGTGATGGGCTCTATATTTTCATTCCAAATAAAATTCTCTTTCTAAAAGCTAGGTCTGACCTTTCACTGCAAGGGTGGGGCTGGGAAAGGAAGTCTGGAAATGTGGGAACAGGCGAGGCCCACAGGAATCAGACAGAGAAACGTCTGGGGGCCGTGCACATTCCCCAACAGCCATCGGTTCCCAGAATTCTGCCAGGCAGGGAAACTGAGGCAGGAGACCTGCGGATGCTCCGAGGTCATGCCCTGTGCTTGGCTGGGTTCCCAGTTCCTCCTTCTGGAGGCCTGACCTTTGAGGCACATGTGGAGTAGGTGTTGGGTGGATCAAGATGAGCCCACGAGGCCCTGGGGCCACCATCAGGGTCCTGTAGCAGGGAGGGTGGGGCCAAGTGTTATGGGCAGGAAACGGAAGTGTCGGGGCACCCCTACACTCTCTCTACATCTCAGTGGGGAGCGCGAGAGCTCACTTCTCTCTCAACACTGCCAGGGCTGGAGGTGGGCGCCCAGCACCAAGACAGCCGACCCATGGTGAGCGTGGGAGCCCACAGGGATCTTGGGGTGCGGGCTGCAGGAGGTCAGAGCCCAACTGTCTGGGCCCCAGGAACTAAGGAAGGTGCCCCGTGGGGGGCCCAGGGGCAGAGGCGAGAGACCCAGGAGAGTGAGCAAGGGGCAGAAGCCAGGCCTTATCCCCTCCCCTCCCAGCTGCACCCCCGGGACTCTCAGTGTGGCACCAGCTCCCCACTCCAGGCCCCAGGATGGACCCTCTCACCCCTCCCCTTGGGAGCCGGGACCTGGGGACAGTTTCAGCTTGCATCACTGGAGTCCGGGCAGGCAGGGCCCAGGGTTGGGGGGAGGGAGGTTTGCACCCAGCACTCCTCCCCACCACACCCCCAGCTGCCTTGTTCCAACCGCAGGCTTCCTCTGGCAGCTGCGTCCGCCCCCCAACCCCTAGCGCCCCTGTGCACCGAGGCCCCCGGGGATGTGTAGCTGAACGGAAACACTGCAGCTGGGGCAGCCCCGTGGCGAGAAGGGAAGGAAGAGGGGCCTCGGGGACCCCCATCCTGGGACCAGGCTGAGTGCAGGTGGAATGGTTCCCTCCATCCCAGGTCTCAGGAGGAGCCCCTAACGCTGGCCTCGAGGGCTCCTTCCCTCCCCCACAGCCGACCCCGCAGGCAGGCCATCTCGACCCAGTCAACCAGGATTTGCTGAGCACCTGCTAGGTGCCAGGTGTGGGTGGAGATGCTCAGTGAACAAAGCAGACCCGAGCCCCATCTTCCTGCTGGGGGCTCCTTCCTCCCACATTCTGAGAGATGACATGACAAGGAACGACAACGGATAAGCAGAATGGCCTAGTGGGTCAGTGCCACGGGAGAGAGGTAGAGCAGGTTAGGGGTGAGGGCAAGTGGGGTGGGCTGCAGTAACAGAGACCAGGTGAGGCCTCCCTGGGGCGACGTTTGAACCGAGACTTGAAGGAGGTGGTGGGCAGCCATGTGGCTGTCGAGAGCATCTGGGCAGAGGGACAGGCAAGGCAAAGGTGCAGGCAGGAGCAGGTTGGGTGCTGGACAGTGAGGCAAGAGGTAGGGAGGCAGCCAGGGCCTTGCTGGCCGGGGAAGGACGGGCTTTTCGGCTCCATTGTCGAGAGGGAAGTGGCAAGTCACCCAGACAGCCCGTGGCCTGGTCCCCACCCCAAGTGATGAGCCCCCACCTGTCTCTGCAGGCTCTGCCCTGCGCCCTGGGGCTCGGGACCCTGCTGGCCCTACCAGGGGCCCTGGGCTCAGGCGGCAGCACTAAGGACGGCTCTGACTCTTCTGTCACCATCGTCTTGCTGCTGCTGCTGCTCCTGCTGCTGGCCACTGGCCTGGCACTGGCCTGGCGCCGTCTCAGCCGTGACTCGGGGGGCTATTACCACCCAGCCCGCCTGGGGGCCATGCTGTGGGGCCGCACGCGCCGCCTGCTGTGGGCCAGCCCCGCAGGTCGCTGGCTTCGGGCCCGGGTTGAGCAGGGATCACCGGACAATGACCCTGAGCTGCAGGAGGATGATGAGGACGCCGAAGACTACGTCATGGATGGCGGCCTAGGGATGGCTGAACCCCAGGAAGAGGAGAAGCTGTGTGGAGAAGGGCCCAACCCACGGCAGGCCCCAGACCAGGCCGAGGAGGCCCATGACGGCGACGATGAGGGGGGCCTGTGCCTCAGCACGCATGGGCCGGCGGGCTCGGGGGGCAGCGCCGAGGCCCTGCTCAGCGACCTACACGCCTTTGCTGGCAGCGCAGCCTGGGATGACAGCACTAGAGCAGCCGGGGGCCAGGGCCCCCACGTCACCGCACTGTAGCGACCAGCCTCAGTCTCCATCACACCCATACTCACTGTGCCTCTGCTTCCCAAGCTGCCATAGCTGGACATGCCCTGCCCTAGACCCATCAACCACACCCTGCAAAGACTGTAACTCCCCCACCTGCTCCCGTCCCTGTCGCCCCATCCACCGGAACAGAGAGCAGCCTTTAGAAATAAAGCTCTCCAGTCTCCATCCCAAGGTGCTGTGGTCCTGTGGCAACCCCTCCCTCCCCAGCAGGGGCTCCTGCTGGTATGACCCCGCCCGCTCCTGCCCGTGTCCAAAAGAATAGCCAGGTCAGTGCCATGATTCAAACTTTAATTCCCCAGGGGCACAGCTTCGCCTAGACGGGCAGCGGCCCCTCCCTGCAGCTGTGGCCTGTGGCCCTCCACACTCATGATTCAGGGGCCACAGCCACAGCCACCCTGACAAAGACACACACTTTCACCCTCACTCACTCCCCTCCGCCGGACATGTCCCAGGTCTCGGGAACAGGCCCAGGGTCCAGCTGCCTGCAGGGAGGGGCCTCCCCACCCACCCTCCTAGCGCCCAGGGCGCCCACGGCCCCTCTTGGACTTCTTGGTCCCTGAGGGGGGACGGATAGGGAGAGGGGCAGTGCTCGAGGGTGGCGGTGGTGGCAGGAGTGGAGGTAGAATGGGCTCCATGGGCTCCGATGGGCCAGGGCTGGGCCGGAACCCCTCAAAAGGGGAGAACTTCAGGGGGCTACGGGGGAAACCAAGGCAGAGTCAGAGCCTCAGAGGCCCAGCGAGGGGCCTGCTGGCCCAGGGTCAGGGAGGGCCGACTTCCCCATCCATCCTGGGTACACAGCTATAAGTCCCCCAAATGCAGGGACTGACGCCTCCAGGTACTGATGAGGAAACCGAGGCCAGCACCAGTCGCCCAGGGGCTGACGGTAGAGCCAAAGCCAGCCGCAGCCTCCTGCCCAGCAGCGCCCCCACCCAGTGGCATGCCCCTCTGCACACAGTACCTGATAGGGGTCCGGGGGCTGCTGTTGAGGCGCCTGGGGGAGCGCAGCTTGGGCTGGAAGGAGAAGCCCTCCTTAATGCTGTCCAGGACGGAGGGTGCCACGTACGTGAAGCCCTGGGGCAGAGGCCGGGCCGGCTCAGTGTCCCCCCTTCAGCCACGACCCCTGCCTGGTCCCCGTCAGCCTCAGGCCCCCAGGACTTACCAGGAAAGCCTGGTTGGCACTCTCACTAAGGGCCGAGTCGTCGGGACTGTCCACTGGCGTCTGCCGCGTGAAGCGGGTGTCAAACTGGCTCACGTCCTCCTCCGACTGCTGTGGGTCAACCACGGGGGCCGGGGTCAGAGGCATCCAGGACATGGGTCCTCAGCCCGCTCCCGGGCTCCCCACTAACCAGACAGGGCCTGAAGGGGGGATCCACGCGGCGGGCTAGGAGATCGTCCCAGTTGATGTGCCGGAAGAAGGGGTGCCTCTGTGAGTGGAATGCCCCCAGACACACTACTAGGTCAGGCTCCCAGCTCCCTCAGTAACTCACGCTGCCCTTGGTGCCCCAGCACCCACCCCCCACCCTTGGAGGCTCCGTCCTGCCCCCTTGTGGTGGTCCCAGGCCCACCTGCACATCAGCGCCGTCCCCTGGGCCACCCCCAATCCGTTGGCTGGGATTCCGCTTCAGAAACTAAAGAACAACGGCAGAGGATGAGGGCCAGGGCGAGGTGGTGTGCTCCCCCGCTTCCCAGGGGCTGGCAGAGGAGGGGAAGGGAGGAAAGGCTCAGCAGCCCTTCTCTGAGAAGCCTTCTCACCACCCCAGAGCACTGTACTGGACTTCCAGCTCCACACACACTGGGTGAGCTCCCCCGTACACTGCTGAGAGCTGCCTTTGTGGGGACGTCTTAGGACGAAAGAGTAGTGAGCTCCTTGTGGGCATTCTGCTGACTAGATTTAGATAAGGGACCCTTCCAGGGTCAGCCTCTGGTCTGTCAGAGCTGTGCAAAAGCGATGCCCGTCCCCTCCCAGAGGCAGACCGCAGCCAGGCAGGGGCAGCACCGGCCCCCCACGGCCAGAGACTCAGGAACCCATACAGAGCAGCGGGCAGGGAGAAGCGGTGGGGCCCTGACCAGGGGCAGGAGGCAGCCCCACCTTTTTGACGAGGTCCCGGGCATCCGGGGTGAGGTAGGGGGGCAGCACCAGCTTCCCCTTGACGATCTTGTCCATGGTTTTCTTCCGGTTCTCTGCGGTAAAGGGTGGCTGGAGGAGGCAGAAGGTGAGAGGAGCCTTGTGGGCCTCCCACCAGGCCCTCCCGCTGCCCCTGCCCCGGGATGGGGGTCTCCTCCCACTCCCCCCAACCACCGCATGAGGGGGCTGGACTTGCCGATCCAGTGAGCATGTCGTACATCAGGGCCCCCAGGCTCCACCAGTCCACCGCCCGGTTGTGGCCACTGCGCACCAGAATCTCAGGGGCCCTGGGCCGGGCGGAACCCTCAGTCAGGCCAGGCCCCTCTGACTGTCCCCCCAACCCCTGAACTCAGCCAGCTGCCGCTTACATGTACTCGATGGTGCCGCAGAAGGTGTGGGTGACGGCACCCTCGTGAATGGACTCCTTGCAGAGCCCAAAGTCCGTCAGCTTGATGTGACCTGAGAAAGAGGAGTGAGGGAGGCTCAAGGCCAGCCTTCCCCACCTGGCCCATGGGGCTCCTCAGCCCTCCCCGAAGTCTCTGGACCAGTACACGAAGCTGCACGCATGCACGTGCAGGCCGGCGCACCCTGGCTGTTGAGCATGATGTTCTCAGGTTTGAGGTCCCGGTAGATGATGCCTTGGGAGTGCAGGTGGCCAAGGGCCAGAGTGATCTCTGCCAGGTAGAAGCTGCAGAGCCAAGACAAGGTAAAGAGAAGCACTGGGGCAGGAGCCCCTCGGGGGAGACAGGCAGGAAGGCACACCCACCAGGCTGTGTCCTCCAGGAAGATGCCTTCTCGCTCCAGATGCGTGAAGAGCTCGCCGCCTACGACAGAAACACATCGGTGGCTCTGTGCCGGAATCAAGACCCTTTTCTTTCTCTAAGTCTGGGTTTCTTCTTGGGGAGAGTGGGGCACATAAATCCCGCCCTACCTGCCTCCCAGAGCTGCCGTGGGGATTCAATTCAATTCAGCAAACATTTACCGATGCCTACTCGGTGCCTGGCCCTGTGCTGGGTGAAGCTGGGGACACAGAGATGAAGAGACCCAGCCATTGCCCTCAGGACACTCAGTCAGAGGCAAGACAGACATGCACAGACTGCTCAGATAGGCCCAGGCCGAGGCAGCGGCTCTGAGAGCTTAACCCAAAAACCTCAGGCAGAAGACATGGGGAGACAAAATTAATCCCAACACAAGGGGACAGAGAAAGTCTCATGCAGGTGGAGGGGCTCAGAGGGGATGCTGAGATGGTGGGAGGCATGCAGCGTGTGGAGGAGAAGCTCACGGGGGGCTCGTCTGGTACAGACGGGACAGGCGGGAAAAGCAGGCCTGGACTACTTTGTGGAGGCCAGGAGGGCCAGGCTTTGTCTGGGCGGTTATAGAGAGCCACAGTATTCTGAGCAGGAGTAGTGGGAGTAAACCGTACTCTAGAAGACCCTGCCAGTTGGTGGAAGGGACATTAGAAAGGGGTGAGCTGCGGGCCCCAAGCCCCGTTAAGAAACAACTGCAACCCCCTCATCCCGTCGAGTGCAGAGGATGGAAGGCGCTGCTGACAACGAACCCGCTGCATTGGGACCTGACTGGATGCAGGGCACAAAGCGGAGAGAAGCAGGATGTGAAGGTACAGAAGAAACGGACAGAATAAGCCTCTGGGCCTCTACACACACCCCCACCGCTCCCCGGAGCCATCTACCCCCCAACACAGGTGAGGGACACAATAGGCACTGGACAGACGTTTGCTGAATGAATGAAGGGAAGGACGGATGGATGGATAGATGTGTGGATGGACAGAGGGGAGTGTGGGCCCCTAACGGCTCTACAGTCAGGCCTCCTCAGGGCCTCTCCCAGAGCTCCCATGCTGCCTGCACCCAGCACCCTGAACACATCCTGGCTGGGCCCCCACTCCTACCACTGAGGCACTCCAGGATGAGGTAGAGCTTGCCACCAGTCTGGAAGGCATAGGCCAGTTCCACAATGAAGGGGTGCTTCACAGACTCTAGAATGTTCCGCTCCGCCCGTGTGTGCGCTGTGTCCTTGGCGTTGCACACAATTTTGGCCTGGAGAGTTGAGGACCAGTCAGAAAGGGGGCGCCTTCAGGCCCTCCAGCCATCACCCTTCTGAGCTGTCTCTGCCCCTGTTTTATTTCTCCATAATTCTGCTGCTATCGGCAACCGTTCTCTTCTGGTCTGGTGTATCCTCTACCACAAGGTCTCTCAGCCTCAGCACTGCTCACATCCGGGACCAGCTGATTCGGCGTCACAGGGGGCTGTCGTGCACGCTGTAGGATGTTTAGTAGCCTCTCTAGCCTCTACCCACTAGATGCCTGTAACAGCCCCCAGCTGTGACGATCAAAAATGTCTCCCGATGTTGCCCAATGCAAAACTGCCCCCCCGCTGAGAACTACTGGATAGCGATACATATCACAGTAGACAACAAGCCAGCAAATGCCAAAAACACGGGCCACCAATTCAGGGAGCGGCTCCATCCTGTCCACTGCTGTTGTCCCAAAGCCCGGCAGGGTAGACTGGGAATGGCCTGCACTCAGTAAGTACACGCTGGCCGGGAATGGCCTGCACTCAGTAAGTACACGCTGGCTGAGAATGGCCGGCACTAAGTACCCGTTGGCAGGGAAAGGCTGGCACTCGGTAAGTACACGCTGGCTGGGAATGGCCGGCACTCGGTAAGTACACGCTGGCTGAACAAATGACTCACCTTCCTCAGGACTTTCATGGCATATATTTTGCCCAAGTTGGTACCTTGCACCTTTCGCACCTGGAACACCTGTAGGGCAAGGGAGAGCAGCTCAACTTCCCTCCCCACATCTCTTCTTCATGAAGCCCCACCCTGAAGCTCTGGCATTAGGACCAAGAGGCCCACACCCCATCCAAGGGTGGGGCAGGAAAGATTTCCAGACAGATTCTGAGAAGACTGTCTTTCCCTCTTTTGTTTCTAGCTCTGAATTCCAAAGAGGCTCTGCTGACTGACAAGCCTGATTCGTCTGAAGAACCCTTTGCCGAGTCCACCCTGAGGCTGTGAGGCCGGCGAGAAGGAGAGGTGCCAGTACCTTGCCATAGCCCCCCTTGCCCAGTACACGCAGCAGTTCAAAGCAGTGGGGCCCAATGCGCTCGGGGCCGAGGTTGACACTGGTCTCGGTCAGCTCCACCTCCTCATAGTGTCCCACAGGCCTGTGGACACAGAAGTGGATGGGGGCAAGGCTCCAGTACTCCCAGGGTCCCTTCTCCACCCCCCTCCCCCAACGCGACCCTCACTCACTCCAGGCCAGCCGACCTCAACTCGGCAAGGGGACACACGTCCTGTGAGAAACCGAGGGGTAAGCGCCAAGGGAAGTGCCAGGATGCCGCTTCCCGCCCCCAGCTGGCAGGGTAGGGGCCAGGGAGTGAGGAGGAGAGGCGGGGGACAGGGTTGGGGAGAGGTGAGGGCGGGTGAGGGTGGGGTGAGACAGGGGCCAGGGCCTGAGAAGGACCTGGGTCTGCAGGGGTCGAAGGCCACTCTGGGTGCGGGGCGCCGGGGCGCCGGCTGCGGTTGGAATCCAGCCGCGCGGGGCGGGGAACTCACCGCAGGGCTGAGCTCTGGCTCGCCCTCGCCCTCGCTGCCCTCCTCCGTCTCCAGGTCCAGGTCGAACACGGCTGCCATGGCGGCGCCGGCCCCGCGGGCCCCTCGGCCCGTAGCTGGCCGCGCTCAGACTTGACAGTCCGAGGCCCCGACCAACACGTCATAACCCCGCGACGGCGGCCGCGCGCCCCGATGATGCACGCGCGGCGTCTCCCTCCCACGAACCGGCCGCTCAGCCTGGCGAGGAGAAAAGATGGCGTCCGTCGCAAAGTCTTTCGGGAGTTGTAGTTGCCGAGTGCCGCTGCACCCAGCCTCCAGCCTGCGGAAACCCCTTCCACGGGACGCTCTGTTTCAGCACGCCTCCCCGGGGTCGGCACCGGATAGAGGCGGCCTGGAAAGCGCTCATCGTGGCTCTGGAGAGAATTCGGGTCTGGTTGGATGGGGCAGGGTCGCAGGTGCATGCGGGTGGAGTGTAAATTCAGTCCCCAGCCCTGTTCGAGCTGTGCGCGGCCAAGCTGGCTGGAGAGCAAGAAGCGATCTCGGTCGCGTCCCATCTCTGGTCTCCCCTGAAAGGGTGACGGCTGCATCAGGGTCTCCCTAACGTGCCTCCCGGCGCGAGGACTCTGCGGTGAGAGCATTTACGGTGAGAGCAGCTCACTAACCGACTCTGTTGCCAGGTTCCTGCCCAAAAGGGGTTTGGGTCTCATTGGATTCACTCGGAGATAGGGGCTTGTGCTGGAGCTTGTTCCATTGTCCATGTATGCATATTTAGTAAATCGGCCACCTGGTACTTAATTAAAAATCCAAACCCAGATCGGTGGAGTGAATTCCGACTCAAGGCAACGCCACGTGTTACGGAGCAGAACTGCTCAGTATTGTTTTCTTGGCTGTAAACTTTACGGAAGCAGATTACCAAACCTTTCTTCTCTAGCTCCACTGGGTGAATTGAAACCGCCAACCATTTGCAGCACCTAGGGACGTGGTACACAGTAAAAACCAAACCTGTTGTCAGCGAGTTGACTCCAACTCATAACGATCCTACAGGACAGAGTACACTGCCGTATAGATTTTCCAAGGCTGTAAATCTTTATAGAAGCAAACTGCCATATCTTTCTCCCGAGGAGCAGCTGGTGGGTTCAAACCACGAACCTTCTGGTTAGCAGCCTAGCGCTTAACCACCGCACTGCCAGGGCTCCTCGGCACACAATGTTGTTAGGTGCTGAGTTGGTTCCGACTCATAGCGACCCTATGTACAGCAGCAGGAAACACCAAAGGTCCTGTGCCATCCTCACAATCATTGCTATGTTTGAGCCCATTGTTGCAGCCACTGTGTCAACCCATCCCGTTGAGGATCTTCGTCTTTTTCACTGACCCTCCACTTTACGAAGTATGATGTCCTTCTCCAGGGACAGGTCCCTCCTGATAACGTGTCCAAAGTTCGTGAGACGAAGTCTCACCATCCTTGCTTCTAAGGAGCATTCTGGCTGTACTTCTTCCGAGACATAATACATAATAAAACAAAGTAACCAAACCCATTGCCGTCAAGTCAGTTCCGACTATAACGCCCCTACAGGACAGGGTAGAAGGGTCCCATAGAGTTTCCAAGGAGTGGCTGGTGGATTCGAACTGCTGACCCTTTGGTTAGCAGCTGTAGCTCTGAACTACTGCACCACTAGGGCTTCTGATACACAATAGGTGCTTAATAAAACTTTGTTGAAAGAAGTAATGTACGAACACACCAACCCCGGTATGTGACTTTAGATTTGGGAATGGATCCCTGTTGGATGAGGCTGTCTAGGGATGAATCTGGGCCAGACCAGGCTCTGAGCATGAGTTCAGATCGTTGGAGCTGTCTGGATGTGCATTCCAACTGGATGTGGGAGGCTGGGTGCGAATGGATGGAGCTCGGGGTCTCCAGGCTTGCAGAGGGTTATCTGGTTGGCTGTGGCCCTTAGAGTGTAATTCCTGGTACAGGTGTACGGTAGCCCCAACTGAAGATCAGTCCAGAGGGTGGCTGGTGGGGTGGTTTGTCCTTGATTCCAGATGCTGTAAGGGCCCGCTGCCCGCATCCCCGCACCGCCAGCATCTAGCTGAGCCTCGAGGCATTGTCCCAGACAAGAGAACCTACCCCCAACTCCAGACATGTCACTAATCTATAAGCCTTTATTGGGGCGGGGGCGGGGTGGGGGGAATGCCCATGGTGCTGTCCACAGCTCCTGTGCTGCACGGAGACGGGAGTTCTTACAGCAGCCTCCCTGAATTTGGAAGGGCATGTAGACTCTGCTGCCAGCTGCTGCTACTCCAATGCTAGTTAGGTGTGCCAGAGACCAAAGCACCAAAGCGTTGTGGGGACGGTGTGCAGGAGAGTGTTCACGTGTCTCAGTGTAGGGAGGGGAGAAAGGGAAGGGAGCCTAGAAACCCAGTGGGCATGTAAGACTTAAAGCGGAAACCTGGACCTTGCATTGTACCCCTCGACCCTCCACCCACTGGGGTGTGACCTTGGGGCAGTCATTTCTCCTCTCGGAGCCTGTTTCCTCATCTGTAAAAGGGGGACAACAGTGTCTGCATGGAGGTGTGAGGGGGGATAATGACTACTGACCCCCGGCCACCTGCTTCTATTGCTCAGGCCAAATGAGGCAGGTGGGGCACTGCCAAAAGGCATTGTCAACAGGTTCTAGAACTATCCTGGGATTTGTTAAATGAGGAGGTGGGGGTAAAAGGGCAGGAGGTTTAGTCGAGGGCTTTCTTGGGATTTGTTCAAGGCCAGAGACCCAGCCAGATAGGTGGCAGGAAGAGAAAGAGACTTGGAGGGGCTGGGTTGGGGCCCACTTCCACCTCGCAGGGGTTGGGGGTACAGCTGTTGCTACTTCTCCCAGGCCTGAGTCCTGGGGCTGCTGTGGGCTGGACTGGAGCCTTTGGGAGGGCAAGGGGGCCCTATGGCCTCCCCACCCCAGATGTTTCTTCTGGGGCCCAGGAGGCCTTGGTATTGAAATGGCCCCGCTGATCTGGCACAGACCTGAGGCCTTGGAGTGGACCAGGCTGGGTGGGGCAGGGCTATGGGGAAAGAGGCAAGGAGAGCCCCAGGAGCAGAGGGCAGCACAGCCCCCTCCCCCCAAGCACTCTGCCCCCTGCCCCCTGACCCCAGCGCTATTTGAAGTGGGACAGGAAGTGGGCGACGGGGTAGTGGGGCCCGTCGATGCCCAGGCCCTGACAGAGGCCCAGGAGGCGGAGACGGGCCTCGGCCGGGCTGGGCCCAGCACAGGCCACACTGCAGTAGGGCTCCTCGTACTCGCCGGGCACCAGGGCGTCCTCGAGCACATTGAGGCGCAGCACGCCCCGGTCGTGCAGGGCCTGCAGGGCCTCACGGCTGGCAGTGGAGCTTAGCGCCTGCAGGTGCTGGGACACCACGCACATGACGCCCACCAGGTGGCCGCGGGCGCGAGGGTGGGCAGGCAGGGCGGGCCGCAGGCCACAGGCCACCATGGCGGCAGCCAGCAGCAGATCCACGCCATAGAGCTCCAGGATCCAGTCCCTCAGGTAGAAGCCGCCCATGCGGGGGTTGATCTCGATGAGCCGAGGCCCGGCCCCGGTCAGCTTGAGCTCGACATTGAAGACCCCATCCAGCAGCCCACAGCCCAGGCAGCAGCGGAAGGCTGCCTGCACCAGCTGTGCCTCCTGCTCGGGAGCCAGCCCAGTGGGCATGCAGGCCGCCGTCTCAGTAAAGCCAGGCAACCGCGTGGGGCCGTTGTCAGAGACGAAAGCAGCCAACAGCTGCCCGCCAAATAGCACCAGGTCTACATCATGCTCGGTGCCCTCCACGAACTCCATCAGCAGCATTGCATTGCCCCAGCCCAGTCCAATGCCCGGGTGGTCAGCCTCGCCCTGCAGGTCATGGGCAATGTGGGAGAAGTGCTCGTGGCACTGCAGCGCGTTCTCCACAAGCCGCACACCCACTGCGCCAGCTCCGAACTCCAGCTTCATGACGCCGGGCAGAGGCACCTGGTGGACAGCCCGATCCACGTCTGCCTCGCTCTTCAGTGGGCAGCAGGGCACGGCATGCAGAGAGGGCGCCGGCCAGGGCGGGCCTTGGCGACGCAGCAGGTGCAGCTGGGTGCAGCTCTTCTGCTTGGCCAGGCGCATGGCGGCCGGCGGGCTGCAGGGCAAGCCCAGCTCCTGGCAGAGCAGGGCTGTGAGCACCAGGCAGTCGTCCCAGTAGGAGAAGCAGCCATCGAGTTGCAGGCCACGCGCCCGCACCAGCTCCGCTAGCAGTCGCGCGTTCTCCTCATCCCTGCGGTGCTCTGTCATATCGAAGTGGATGAAGGTGTGCACCAGCTGGGAGGCGAAGTGGTTGGGGTCCGACTCCACCAGGTGCAGCTGCAAAAAGCAAGGGGGGCGAGGGGCAGGGGCACACCCAGGTCAGCCTGTGCTGAGTGCTGGCAAGACAGGAGAGGGCCTAGGAAGCTAGGACGCGGCTTGGGACCTTTCCTGCCTTGTTCCCCGCGGCATCCCTAGCGCCTAGCACACTGCTTGTATACAACAGGTGCTCACTAAATATCTGCCGATGATTGAATAAATGGAAGGTACAGAGGTGGGACACCTAACCCAGCTGGAGGGGAGGGAAGGCATCCTTGAGGAGGCAAGGCTTAAGCTGGGAGGTGAAGAATCAGAGTCAGCCTGAGCGAAGGCCAGGGGCAGTGATCTGAAAGGCTCCAGAGGGAGAGGGCCAGACCTGCGTGGAGGGGCCAAAGTGCAGAGGGGCAGAGCCCGTGCCTGCAGCCAGCCTCTCCCTGGCTGGGCGTGCAGAGAAACCACTTGGCCCCTTTGGGCACCACTCTCTTGGTCGTCATCCACTGGCCGCGCATGGCCACTGGCAGGTGTTCACAGAGAAATCCCATGGGATCCCAGACACAAAGAGGCTGAGACCCAGGGCAAGGCAGGGAGGGTAGGGTGGCTGACGGCATTGGGGCTGTAATGCTTGGCAGCTGAGGAGTGATGTTCTAGGGCAGAAAATGTGTAAGGCAGGGAGCAAAGAGGCGCAGGAAGGGCTGGAGGGTAGGGTTTCCCAAGGGGCATTGTACTGTGGGAGCGGAGAGGAGGCCAGTGTGGGAGATTAGGGCCAGCCTGAGAAGAGTCCAGGCGTTTGGCCTGTTTTCTCATCTATTCAATGGGAACAAAAATGCCTGCCCCACCAGCATGTCTAAAGATTCTGCAATGTGAGGCCACTGCTGTGAAACTGATTCGTGCCCTGGGTAACAAATCTCAGGAATTCAACCTCAAAGGGCCCACCCTTTCGCCACGATGGAGCCAGGCTCCTTAGCCTGCCATTTCAGGCCTCGGCTCTAGTGCCAAATGCTGTCACCGCCTCCCCGGCCCTAGGTCTACCCCGGGCTCCTCTTCTCTTCCGAGAGGACAGGGTGAGTTTAGTCCCCCAGTCCCTGCAGGGCAACAGATCCGGCTCCCACCCGAGGCTCGGGTTCCCCTTTCCAGGACTTTCTTGCGCAGGCCCCGCCCCACCAGCGCAGGCCCCGCCCCAAGGCCCGCCCCATCTCTTTGGACAGGCCCCGCCCCGGGATCCGCCTCCGCCGGTCCGGCCGGGC